AAAAAAGGAGGAAAACGATGAAAATAAACATTGTAGCTATCCTACACGTATGAAGCAACACAAACGTAGTCTAATCTCTACAATGGTTACTTCAGAATATTGAGTGTATTTTGCTATTTGTAATCAATCCATAAGATAACATTCGTTGCAGAACAAATAGGGGAGAGAGTAAGAAGGGAAAAAAAAAGGAAGGAAAACGATGAAAATAAACATTGTAACCTATCCTACACGTATGAAGCAACACAAACGTAGTCTAACCTCTACAATAGTTACTTCGAAAAATTGAGTGTATTTTGTTATTCGTAATCAATCCATAAGATAACATTCATTGCAGACCAAATAGGGGAGAGAGAGTGAGAGGGAGAGAGAGAGGAGGGACGAGAAGTATGAGTTGACACGTAATAGACATATGAAAAAAAATGAACGCGACTCCTGCTAAAAAATATAACATCGTGAAAAATGGTAATGGACATTGACACAAGTCCACCCAGCGTGCCTGACCATTTTCGACTGGTCGCCACCAACACTCCCCATGGGCTTCAGTAGTTAAGGATGAACAATGGAAATCTCAATCTATTTAACTGTGTAAAACAGTAACCCAAGAAGTAAAAAATTAACCCAATAAGCCACTCTTCATCAAACACAACTTGAATCCTCGACCACCAAAAAGTTAGCACTATATCATACTTAAGAATAAAACAAAATTCAACTGGAACGAGAAACTCCAGGGACCTAAAAAAGACCCAGTAGAAACTCAAAAATGACAAACCCGATGCCATCAAACTATTACTACCACTGGACCGGAATCGACAGGTTTTAAGTTAAGAAAAGTTACCCCCAAAGCTCAAGGGATCGAATCACACATTTGTTTTCCACGAAACTACTTTTTAGATAGTCATGATCGACCCTGGGATCGAATCCCACCTTCATAAACGCTCTCACTCACGCGCGTGTTGGCCAACGCTCCCCTACGCACCACTCACGACCCACTCACGCTCACACTCGTACCAGTGTCGGCCAAAAACGTCAGTAATACTATTCTAATATGAATTAGAGGTATCAAGCAAAAACCGGTTATCACAACTGCTTGGTATTCTCTAAGCCGTGAGGGCACAGGCACGCAACCCATAGTTTATATGTTGATGTGGTAGGGGAAGGATAGTAAATTAGTGATTATGTTGCATTTATATTTTATCGTGCTCGTTATACACAGCTCCAAGTGTATATGTATGTTCCTGTATCTGTGTGTGTGCATGTGAGAGTGTGTGTATATGTATGTGAAAAGTGTGCGTATGTATGTGAAAAAGTGTGTGTGTGTGAGAGAGAGAGAAAAAAAAAAAAGAAAAAACCTCCAACACGCAGCCTGTCGGTAATTGGGAGCACAAGGGCAGGCGCTAACCTAAAAAAAAAGACAAAAAAAAAAAAAAAAAATACAATAGTTTTTTCATTTCAAAATTCGCATAGAAAACATATGCGTCATTTGTTTTCTTTTACTCTTGTGCGTATGTCGTTAATAGTGAGGTAATCATCAATCAATCATTCAAACATAGGTTTAAACACGAAAGCAGAATGCAAAGCAAACCACTAAGGACGAGACAAGAAGAAGAAAACCGAGAGCAGGTATTATCGAAAGATAACATCATTAAGCCTAGCGATGCCAGGCGATTGTACCCAACACCGTGTTTCTGCCGGTCGCCTGTCCGGCTTTATCAGGGGTCACACTACATCTACCTAACGCATGATAGAACAACTAACCGACCTATACTATATATAAGTCTACGACACGTCATATCTCGAAGACCCTAGAAACGGGCCCGACAGTATGGTGCTTAAGCTACCGAGGTCAAATACCCTAAATGCTACCATCTAGTTTAGATCCATGCCCAGTATTACAATAGTTACAAACATCCTGAAGTCAGGTAATCGGCTCGATTCTGAAAATCTACAAAACCAAAGGTAAATACCGGTCCAGGCCTAGTGCTACACCAAACCGCAGAACTAAGAAATCACCAAAGACAGGTAAGCGGTTCGAATCCAAGGAACAGGGACTACGAATACCATTTCGAGTCCTCTCCCAAAAGTCACATAGTGCCCATCAAACAAAGCCAGAGGCAAATACCTTCTACTTCAACAAAGTGCTACCTCCACCCAGTGAAACAGGCAACCCAATTGTCCCAACAATTATTCATACGAGCTGAAAAGTTCCTCAAACATTGATCAAAGAAAAGGTCAGGAAAATCTCTTATTTGCAGCTCCATTTTTAATGTCAATAGGAAACAAGCCTCCGCTCCCGGCATCGTGGTAAGTGTTTTTGCCCTGTGTAGGCAAGCAGTAATTACCGACATCTTCTGCTGTTTATCCGAATAGGATGAAAAATCCTGTAGATTCTGAAAGACAATGCCTTGATGAATAACAAACCGCTCATTCTTATGGGTTGCAGCACAGAGCACCCTACAAGGATCCGAGAAAACTTTGATAACGCAGCCGAGAAAATCCCACGCCTCGCTTGTACTGGTAAGCTCAAGGATCAGGTTCTTATCGTAGCAATTCCTAAATTCATGTAACCGCCTAGCAGCCATCATTCTAGCATAAACAGAGCCTCTCTGATATTTCGAAAAGACCGACACATCATCAACTAATCTCATGCCAAACAAAAATTTACGTTACCGACCTAGATGGGTCATGAACTCATGTTCATTGAACGCACACAAAAGATAGGCTAGGCCCGAGCTGGAGGGTTTACCTATAGGTATTCCTACGTTCTGCTGTAAGAATACCTCCATAGCCACAACATACGTGTTACTGCGGTCGAAGGTTACCATATTTAAAAGTACAGAAAACTTGACACGTCGGAATCCAGCTGGAGTCTCCTTCCTTCGTCCTATCAGAGCACCCTTACCCTTTTTTTTTACAAAAACATTAGAATAACCTTTTTCCTCGTAGACACTGACCAACCATTCCGTAACTTTGATAATGGCAACATGTGGCAAAGCAGTAAACATCTCCTTAATATCGAAACTTGACGACATCACATGTTCGTCTTGGCAAATCGACCGATTAAAGTTATCAAGTTTACCAATCATATCGTTAGGACACCTCAAATTAAAATACAAGTCCTCAGGTAATTCCCATAGCAGCTTATTAATAGATGTAGACACAGTTCTACTAAGTCGAACTAGGGGGTACGAAAATGAGGGACAAATAGGTCGCCACTTTGCAATATTTTTATGCTTAGGCAAGCAATAGGCTCTACCGATCTTACCTCGATGATTGAACACAACATGACGCTGAAGTCCAGATGATGACAAATTCTGATGCATGAAGTCAATCAACTTGGACTCATGCATACCAACTGACGTAAAACCTGCATTGTTGATAAACAGAGTCTCCATGCCTTGTCTGTAAATTGTCGGACAGCAAACATACGAGTCCCCAAAGTTATGGTCAATCGGACATACCACAAACCCCTCTAACTCCTTCTTAATCTCTCGAACTTGAGATAATCCATTCTTAACGGACGACCCTGGTCCATGACAGCGATTAAAACAACTACTTAATTCGTTACCTGAAATAGAAAAAATGGTGGTGTCACCCTGAATACTGCTAAGTCCTTTAAGAATGTTGTGACGGAGAGCTGCCCGATTACGTCGAAAACCCGGAAACAAGACGTTCTTGCTATTTTTAACAATGCCCGACAACCATTCAACTTCACTAAATCTAAAGGACACATATCCATCCTTAGTAGGTAAGTCGGACTGTTGACAATTGCAATAAGAAACTCGTTGTTACGACGAAACTCTGAAATTATGAAGTAAGTCCCCCACATACTTATTCTTACACCACACAATCCTCAACTTTCTGCAAATAACATACTTCAAGGGCTCTCGAACAGAAGAGCGTCGTATGGCGGAAAGACACACGTCACGAATTCGTTTTTTACACAGAGTGGCATCGAATGGAATCCTAATCGTAGTCCTAATCCTAATGTTAATAAAGAACTTATTTTTGAAAACCCGAGCTAATATCGCTCTCAGCTTCGCACGACTCTCTCTTCTTGAGAAGCATGTAACACAATTGTACAGATAGACGAGCCTATCAAGCGACTCGAGATAGAGTTTCGTGCAAGAGGCAGGGCAACTCAACAGTTTTCCCAAGGTACTCTTGTACTTTTCGAAACGCAAACAGAATCTCAAGATAACTTAAAAAAACAGCACTACCCCTGAGACCAGCGACTTCCTACAGTATTTTAGAAGCTCAACTCTTTCGCCAATTCGAACCACGGAAGATCCGTAACAGCGATTTAACACTTTTCATTTTTCAGTCAGAACATCGCCACCAAGACAATGAACCGACGTCCTTCCAACATAGCGCTGAAAACACTTATCGAGAACACATCGCAGACTAGTGGAAGTGAAACCATCCTCAGATCGAAAAAGAACAAAAGTTTTATGCTTCGTACTATCGAGGTGTTCTACCAGCCCACCAGTCTTCTTCTGCCGTAGTCTCTCATGCTTTCCCGGTCTCTTCTTCCTTCTCTCTCGTCTTTTACCCAAAATAGGGATTGAATTCAAGAATGGATTAAAAACACGAATAAAATAAGATTCAATAGACAGAAGCTGACCCAAGTCAGTTACAGCAATAGGTATCGCCACATAACCACTAACTCTTTCCCGTTTTAGCCATCTGTAAAGCCGATGATTCCTAGCTGCAGGACTGTGCACAAAGTTCAAGCGATACAAATGCTTCTTCCACCTATAACCCAAAGCTCGCGAGGAACAACCAACATACATATGTTTGCACCACGGGGAGACAAGTACATACACAAGAGGGCCCGGACAGGTCGTGAAATCATAACGAATAGAGAATGAATAGCGCAAGAATGAAATAAGTTTATCACACCAAGGAAATTGCCGAAGAAGAATAAGAATAATGACTGTAATCCTAAAGACACCATCAATGGTGCTGTCACGTTGCAGTCTCGTACTATCTCGTGCATCTCTACAGGCTAGAGCCAAATTGCTAAGTTCACCAACGCTCGGTGACATACCCTAGCAATTGCCAGCCCTAACTTCTTCGTCTTCGTCCCTATGGCTGCTGCCAACCAAGTCATCTGATGCTTCGGAATCCTCGGGTTGCTCAGTGCCATGACTTACCTTACCAAAAGCACGATCGGTATAGACATCCGCAATGACCGCAGCCGACGATTTGATGGTCGAGTACTCCAACTGTTCTTCGGCACACAGTCTCTCAATATCCTTCTTCTTCAGCTTAGAGAGCTCCGCACAGACGCGCTTGTTGAAATCATCCCGCGTTTCATTCATCAGCTTGACGAACTTAAGACCCTCATGGGTTCCATTTCCTCTGCCCCCGACTTTCACAGGACTGTCCGCCTTACTCAATCTGATACGTAGATTAGAGGGCGGCGAAATGCTCTTCCTCGTAATCCTTTTTCTCTTAGCACTTGCAGGAGTACCCGTTGAAGAGCTAATCCTGATGATTCTCTCTTTCAAGGCTTGAACCTCCCTCTCCGCCATGTCCCTATCATCCCGTAGTCTTCTGTATGCGTCAGATAGCTTGACGTAGTCGCCGGCGGTAGGGGTATAGATAGCCTTGCCTTTCTCCTTCGCAGATGTCATCCCCACGACAGCAGCACTCCCGCCCGACTTGGTCACTTTCACAAGCTCACCAACTTGCTCGTTCAGGCAGATAACGTCATGAATCAGGTGCTGGTTGTCAAGCCGTAACACGGTCAACTCTTGCTCATGTTGAAGCACTTGAGGTTGTCGTGACAACCTCTGCATATCCGCAACAGCTTGCTTCAACCTTGCTATCTCTTCGTCTTTCGCAAGCAAAGAGTCAGATTCGGAGATCGTTTTACCCTCAGCCTCTGTACTGACAGTGCGCCTCCGAATTTCCATGGTTGTAGGAAGGACAAGTTGCTCCCCTTGACTTCCCTTCTTGCCAAGGACCTCCTCGCATACAGAACGCATTTGTGTTTCCACCATTTTTCCAATGCTTGCCTTAAACTCATCCTTATCCTTGATTTCAGCAAGACGTTTCTCTTCAGCTTCTGCACGTCTTCTCTCTTCCTCTTGCTTCCTCTTATTCTCTTCCTTCTCCTTTTCAATCGCTGTCTCTCTTCGATTTCTTCAGCCATCCAACTCCACATCTTCTCTATTTTCTCATTCCTATCATCATAGTCGGAAGACCATGGCCGTCGATAATTTCCGTAGCCTCCCGAGCCTCCATAGCCTCCTCCATAGCCTCCTCCATAGCCTCCATTGCTACCGCCTCCATTGCCTCCAAATGATTGATCATTCCTCACATCGTTGGAAGGAGCTTGATAGGGAACCAAAGCCCTTTGAGCCGACGGACTTCAAGACGACGAAGCTTGGTTGTTGCCAGCTTGCCTAGCTCGTTGTTCCGAATCTCTCATCCGAGTTCGGAAATCACGAATAAAATGGCCAGGACGTTGACAATAGTGGCACAGTGGACGCTCCATAGTAACAAATGAGACAGATAACTAGGAAATACCGGCTACACAACACAAGATAGAAATAGACGAGATAAAAAGATAGGGAAGATAAACTAGATAACGAGATGATAGATCGCACTCACACATCCGTAGTATAATTTCTACGTTGGTTCATACGTGTACTAATGAGGTAATCATCAGTCAATCATTCAAACATAGGTTTAAACACGAAAGGAGAATGCAAAGCAAACCACTCAGGGCGAGACAAGAAGAAGAAAACCGAGCACAGGTATTATCGAAAGATAACATCATGAAGCATAGCGATGCCAGGCGATTAGACCCAACACTGTGTTTTTGCCGGTCGCCTGTCCGACTTCATCAGGGGTCACACTACCGCTACCTAGCGTAGGATAGAAAAACTAACCGACCTATACTATATATAAGTCTACAACACGTTATATCTCGAAGACCGTAGAAACGGGCCCGACAGTACCGTGCTTAAGCTACCGAGGTTAATAGTGGAAAACAAAACATAAATAAGTATATCGGTGTATCTTTTCACGTTTTAGTTGTCATTCATTCTCATTGTGCTCATTTGATGAGTGGTGGAGTTATGTCCTATTTGTGGAAAGCTCTGCAAAGTAAGGGTTGCTGGCAACGGATGTGTCATCCATGCCTAAGTATTTTTTAAAATTTTGTATACATGTTACAAGTAGTGGAGTAGGGCCTTGCTCCATTACTCACAACATACAATTTCGATTAAAAAAATACGGCGGTGTATTTTCCCACACTGTAGTGGAAATTTCATTCTCGTTGTGCTCATTTTATGCGTAATAAACCTATATCATGTTCATGGAAAGCTTTACAAGGTAAGTGTGGTTGGCAATGGGTGCATCATCTTTGACCCTCATCTTGTTCATTTTTTTTTCTTCACTAAATAAAACTTTAAGGCCTCTTCCTATTTCCTTGACTTTCCATCCCACAACATTGGGCAGTAGTCGCGAATACATTTGGGAGGGGTAACCCAAAGGTACTGGAAGTTGAGGATTGAGGGTGAAAATTAATTATTTCTTTTTCCAATCCTTTTTTTTCCCCATAAACCTTTCAAAATCTTTTTTTTTTTTCTAAATAAAAGCCTTCCCCCCCCCCCCCCCCCCTCGGGCATGTCATGCCAAACCAAGAACTCTCAACGTGCCGCCGCTGCTATCACTGCTACAGCTGCCTCCACCTCATCACCACCGGCTTCTCCATTGCCTCCATAGCTTCATGTATATGTGTTGTCTAGTCACACTTGTGCAGTTCACTCATCTTCCACTTGGTGATGTGTTGGTTCAATCCTTGTTGCTTCCATAGTTTCATGTGTATGTGTAATCTAGTCAGACTTGTGCAGTTCACTCATCTTCCACTTGGTAATGTTCCGATTCAATCCTAATTGCTTCCATGGCTTTGTCATCTTCTCTTTTTGTGATAATTTAATACGAGTGCAGCCACATTAAACAAAGACATAGACATTAAGCCAGACGGGAAAAAAATATTATCTCCAATTATACAATTGAGGAGAAAACCAACTTCAAGTTTTGAGATTTTTATTTTCATAATCTATATATTATAGCGGCAAACATCAAAACCATTTTTAATTTCTTACAGTTTTGTTAGTGGGGAGCAACATCTGTTAAAAATTGGGTCTAATGCCTCATATAAGGAAAATTGAATGTTAAAAAATGCAACTTACCATTGTCTTCTATTTTCACCTTATAGGGTTAAGGAGAAAGGCATTGATTACTTTTCAATTGATATATCATGAATATGATTGTATTATGATATTTGTAACTTTTTGCATTGATTGATGAATCTCTCTCTCTCTCTCTCTCTCTCTCTCTCTCTCTCGTGCATGCGCAAGCAGTCTCATAATCTTTCACACAAATACACACGTGTACCTTCCCTCAACCACATGCATGTACAAACTACAATTGCGCACTCATGCACTCACAGTAAGTCAATGAGTCTTGATATAGTGCCAAAGATAAAAAAAATATGTTATTATTGTCAATACTTGTTTAGTAATCAATAACGTTTTATTTAAAATTTTTAACACTTTTGCGTAAAGTTTATAAAGTCTTTGTGTTTTTCATGTTTTTAGTTGGGTTACCAGTCAGGCTGCGGGGTCACCTTGTTAAACCCTGCGGCTCGACCGGTCGAGAAGAAGTGAAGGGCCAAAAAAAAAAAAAGAATCCGAAAATCTGAAAAAAAAAATATATGATTCATAAAAATGAAATGAACAACGTTTGCCTAAGGGTTAATTTTTCCCTATCGCGCAACTTGTGCCGGGTCACTCTAGTAGTCTAGATTTTAGTAACTTATTCTCTATATGTAGTATATGAAGTAGACTCACTTTTTTTTCAACGAAAATATGCTTTATTTTGACAAACAAAACGGAAGGTCCAATTCTGCCATTTGAAAGCAGCAACTTTGACGATTTTTCGTATTAAGAACAATTTTTTAAAAATTTTAAAAATTTAAGGATCCGTGGATTTGGTCAATTTTCTTTTAAGTAAAAATATAAAATAAATAAAAATAATTTTTACATTGACATAATCGTCGTGCTGATTCAGCGCATTTCCATTTTTTTTACATAATTTGATTTTTGTCATTCACCCAATTTTTCACTCTATGCTACCGGTACCCCTTGTGAAATGGTACTACGAGTCCCTTCAGGTTTTTGACATCGGGGGGAGTGGAGATTTAATAACCATTCGACCCCCCTTCAAACCCCTGCTAAAAAATGCATACCCTTTCACTACCGTTTTCGTCCTATGAAAGACCGATAAACCCGATACTGCAAAAAAAACTATCTGCAATATATAATGCATTCCTTACAAATTGTGAAGTAATAAACAGTTTAAGAAGGGAAGTGGTGTTGGGGGTCTCTTGCCACATTCTTGCGTGTCGTGAATCTCCTCTTTGCAACATGAATGATTGTTAAAACTTTTGTCGATAATCAAATGCTACTCGTGCATGATTCAAATGAGATTATATTAAAAAAAAAGGGAAAACCATGTGTGTCTTCTGAATTTGTTGAGTGTAACTGCAGCAGTCAAGCATATAGGCATTAAATAAGGAACAAACAACATAGTAAATTAAATAGTTAGGGGAACGAGGGGGAAGAGGTGTTGAGAAGGAAACACAACAAAATATTATCATGTCATCTTTCCTTGCGGAAATGTTTTAATATGACTGCAAATGTTGATGTAGTCGAAAAACAGTGGTCAATCGCAAGTGCAGAGGATGTATTCCTGATAACTTTTTTTTTTTTTTTTTTTTTTTTAAGATGAAGCAAAATGATGTTTGTTTATCAAAACTCTTTGCAATGTGTGATTTATTGTGAGCATCCATGTTTGGAGAGAGAGAGAGTTGGGGGGTGGTTGAGACAAAAATATATAGATAGATAGATATATAGATGGATAGATAGATAGGTAAAGATGATAGATAGATAGATAGATAGATAGATAGATAGATAGATAGATAGATAGATAGATAAATAGATATTTATAGAAAGAGAGAGAGAAAGAGAGAGAGAAAGAGAGAGAGAGGAAAAAAAAAAGTCAACGATTTTCATCAAAATATTTTTTTGGTTCGACATAAAATTTGTTTGTAGAAGAAATAAATTTTTCTTAATTTACTTCTTGCCATAAATATTATTTTTTTAACTTTTTATTTCAATAGAAATCAGCACAACAAATAGTAAGCGTTTTGGTCCTGAGAATTTTTGACTCATTAGAATACAATATTCATGAAAACTGGACAAAATCTTTTGTCTATTTTGCAAAACTGACACAACTTTTTATGCAGAATATGTTTTGAGAGCGACTTTTTCAACATGTATAAACGCAAAACATTGGGGAAAAAAAATGATATTTTAGAAACAACAAACTACCTATGTCATTACCACAGAGTAAGAAAGTAGTTTTTATTGCACTTATAAAAATATTATATATTCAAAATTTTAAAAACTATTATTTGGTGAGCACTGACAGGAAAGCAGTACTTAGCAACAATGATGTTTGTCAGTATTGTTTTTCCGTTAAAAGACGTGGAGAAGTCTTTGCGTCCAACCTACTCTATGACCACTGTTGTTTTCAAAAGGTGTCAGACAACATGTAATTGCTTCATTATGAGGTGACTATGTTTGCAGAAGTCCCTTTATAACCTTAAATCACCAATACAGGGCCCCAACCTTGCGAAAAATATTTCATCGCGTGATTCAGAAAAGTTGGTGCCGTTGGTATAAAATAATCAGTGGCTGGCTTCACTTTTCAGCCTCTGACAGGGGTCCACGGTCTATGTGAGGCCTATAAGAGGCCTATGGGAGGGCTACGTGAGCGTGTTGTATACATAAATAGGAAAAAAATAATTTTATAAAAAAAATGAAGTCTTGATAAAAAGATTTAGAAAACCATCCAAGAAAAGTCAATCAATGATCAATCCATGCAAACGTTGTTACAAAATTTGTTACATTTTTTTTTTTTCAATAAGAATTTCGTTCATCACATCATTTGAGGTCGGGGTCCCCACAGTCTACCCGCTAAAGCTGGGAGCATTACCCAGTGTCACTTCACAGGGTCTACCCCGTGTGGGAAGGACCTGCTACATCTTAGACCAACAT